GGCCAGTGATACAAATCAGAGACAAATCCATTAAATTTTGATTAAATGTACATAGAAATTGGATGAGAAATAAGCAAAATTTAATACATTTTTGTCTTTCGAAATTATAAACAGTTATTGAAAAAGGTTTTTATAATATCCTAAATAAATAGATAATTGATGCATATTTTTTAAATAACATGTTAACACTATATCAAACTATGATGGCCCTTGGTCCATCCTCAAATATAAACCTCCTGAGGTTTACCCAACCTCAAATATAAAAAAAAATAAATACCTATCCCTGGCCGAAAACTTTACAATATGATACCGTTCAGTTGTTACACATATCCTTTACCACTTCTGTGACATCAGTTTGATAACTGCTTGTGCAATTTTCTGCAGTTTAAGAGGCAGTCCGTGTAAAAACCGACCACTCGAATTTTGTAAGATTACAGAATTCTTCCATACTTTCTGTGTGGAAGAAGTCATTCATAAAACTAGAAAATACATGCATGCAGCAACCCCTCGCGTTGCTGACAAACCATTGTATTTTCTGAACACGAAGTCAGTCTAAGGCCGTGTTTACACTATAACGCATCGGTTAGCACTCCGTTAAAAATATACTACGTTTATAGTATTGTGTTCATGTGAGGGATATTACTGTAATATGTAAAATTTGCTGTCATTTGTTGACTTTTTGTTGTGTGATCAAGACAACTAAAATGGGAAGGTTACAGCAAGGAACGTATAGTAAAATTGAAGGAAGAAGGCGACATGCCATCCCAAAGGCGTCGAAATATCGACAGTTGGATTGTGAAAGTTTCTTCAGCGGTTCAAACTGAACCAGACGCTATTAACGGCAGCACCTAAAACCTATCGAAGTTTTAGATTTAATCATGTTTCCCTTATGCTTGTTGCACTAATTACACAAGTCGAAGCATATTTTCAAGACGCGAACTCCTAGTAAAATGCATGCTTTAGTTTAATCATATTTTGTTAGTTTCTCTTACGCTTTGGAGACCGTTCAAGCCACTAATTCCTAGTAAAATGCATGCTTCAGTCATGTTTGTTTGTTTCCCTTCTGCTTCCTCGTATTATTAAAAAATACATGTAATTACATGTATCTACCTATTCGCACAAGTACTGGACAATAGAATTTGTTATTCTCAATAAATATATTAATGTTTGTCAAATTGAACTGATAACAATAACAAGTAGAAACAAAAAGACAATAACGGACCAGACAAAATATATGCGTGTTTTGTCAATACAATTTTAGTACATATATTGGGTTTTTCAAGATGGTTTCATTTTTGGTTTATATTTTATTTTCATAAATATTTATTGTCAGCTGGTTCTGGCTTTTGGGAAATTTTATGTTTCAAGCGTATGCATGATATCAGTATCAGCTAATTAGTTAAAGCTGTATTTTTCATGTTTATTATTTGAAAAGAGATTCAAATGGCTCAATTCATATCAGAAAATTTTCCTTCTGTAATATGGATTCGGCTGGTATCTTAATAAATGCAATTTTCAAGTCTTGTTGCCAAAAATAAAATGCTGTAATAAATATATAATATAAAAGGCCGTAATAACACACCAAGTTGAATGTGTTCATATAATCCTACAATAGAACTGTTTGTTTTACAAGCGATGGATAGTTGACAATAAAAGTAGAAATACTTGTCGCTTGGAAGAATATTTACATCAAGATACAAGTCAAGCGATACGCGATGTTTATATTCCTATATATTGGCGGCTATGAACACTAAAATAGTGTCAGTGTCATTGATTTTAACAACTTATTGGTCGATTTGTGCTAGTTAACGTCAAAATATAGCATGCGGGATAAGATTCATATCTGCAGGATGGGATTTCGATCCCGAGGAATTAATGTGCCATCCCCCTAGATGGGAATCTTGTCCCCCCGGACGGGATACAGGATTGTTAACTTTCCCGTGAACAGTACTGTATCATATTAAACAGATCGTAAGTAAAAAGTATCGAGTCCAAGGTTTCCTTTCACACTTTGGGGGGTTATTGAATTGTTTCGCCAAGCAATATGAAAGGATCAACGATTCAACCACCACCTAAAGTGTCAAAGGAAACATGGGTCATGCGTGTAGTTTTACCATTTAAAGATCAAAAGTCGACTGATACATGTATGGTTAAAAAACAACTTATTGGTGTTGGTTCGTTGGTCAAAGCTTTGCAGCCAGTATTTAGGAGAAGAAAGATTAGAGATCTTTATCGGGAAAATGTGAGTGTCATGGGAGTGTCATGGTGTGGATGCGTGAAGAACTGAAGCAACACTGCTTTTCAATTTTGCGCAAGTATACCAGGGAAGGTACAAGTGCTTTCTATTTGACATGTCGTATATCAAGGAACTGTCAACGTCTTTCAACACTATAAATCGAACTTGATACGTTCAAAACGTTTTACTTAGAGTAGATAGCGTATATTCATAATATTTGTTACTGTATGAGTTTTAACTTGTTAGTAATTACGTTATTTTTCTATTTTAGGCGTTCTCATAATGTAATGTGAAATTAGTACAGGAAATTACAAGGTTCGAGAAGTATTAACGAAAAATTGCACGTGTGTCAAGGACTTGCTTCTTCCCGCGAAATTACAAAACAACATGGCGTTTTCTGAATATCACTCGAAGATTACAGAAAAGGGTGTCATACAGGCTCTCTCAAAAAATTCCAGCTGGCTAACATCCGAAATTCGACTATTCAACTTTAGAAGTATATTTTATGATTTAATCATGAAAAGAATTTGGCCCGCGAGTTGGGAGTTTTCACTGAATTTCGCACTTCTACCTGCGCGGCTATTTTTAATTTGATCAGCCAATCACGTTTATCAAGTCTTCCGCTAACTGGAACCTTTTAACGCTCGTTACAAGCATTAAGTTTCATGAGAGAATACTACTCAGAATAGGCAATGTTCATATGCAGCTGTTCATCATTACTTTATAAGACAATATAATTATCATCAGCAATGCCCACCAGCACAATCACAACCACCATCAAGTGGGTATGGTGATGTTGAGTTGTTATTCTCATATCACTAACACATGACTTAGTATATGTTGACAACAATGACCATTCTGTATAACCAACATCGACTGCAGTCAGAAGAAAAAATTAACACATAAAAATAATGAATGCCTTTTAAGCTCAAGATATGAGTTGCTATAACAGAAAGACAACATTTTGCAATATGTATTGTTTCTTGGAATTTTAATATTCACCCCAGCACGTTTTGCTTAATTACACCCTTGATGGGCGATGGCATGAAAATTGTGACCCAAGAAGTTCCACTAAAAACGAAAGTGCCATATTATACATTGCCGGTAATATGTCGGTCTGAGCACGTACTATCGTGTATAGCAGATAGTGGACTTGCAATCTCCAGTTATCAGAGCAAAAAACCCAAACGTTTACCCTTTTCATAAAATGAGTATATGGGCGCTTTCCATTAACACGGTCAGAACGGTCAAATTGTTGAATGAAACACAAAACATTTGGGCTTTGGACCTATCTGACCAGAAATTTTAGATAACATAAGAATGAGGTCCATTTTCGCTAGATATTTGAGAAACATAGACCAGATCCTTCCATTGATACAGAAAAAAGAACTTGGGTCTGACCGGTCAGGCCATTAAATGGAAAGCGCACTATGTTTTTTCCACATTTTAATAAACCAGTACATATAATCAAACCGACAGTCTTAAATAATAAGACAATTCATAAATTATTTATAAACTTAAGAGGCTGTCTCTGCAAAAACGGACCGATCAAAATATCATTAAAAACAGATTTCCCCTGAATTTTACAAGAAAGTACAAAAATGTGTCTACATTAACGAATTCGTATCGGTTTTTCAAATTTCTTGACTCTTCACGAGATTTTACGATGTATGTATCAACCACTGAGCACGTCAAAATGGCGGCCATTTTCCTTTACGCAAGTTGTTCAATTTAGGCAGTCGATTACTTACACTTCACAGAAAGCCAAAAACAAATTACGACTCAAAGTTTACGTACTTACGTACCTTGTATAAAAAAAATAATTGAAAGAATAAACATTTCTCCAAATTTTGCACGTTGGGCAAATCTTAAATTTGCCTATTTTGAACAATAACAGAAATCACCAAAAGTACAGTCAAGATGACGGCAGTTTTTGAGGCTCGTAAAAATAATACATTCTGTACTGGGTCAAAGTTCAAGACACGTTTTACTGAGATCAAGCGAAAAATGTTTTGGTCTAACATGCTTACAAGTATATTTGGCTCTTTAAATAATAGTAAATTTGAACATATGACGTAATCTGCTTCGTTTTAAACACGGATCGCTCAGGCGCTTAAAAATGCAAAATCTTACCTTATCTGCCCATAACTTCTTGAATTTCTACAAGCTTATTTCTTTCAATCCAAAACTACGGATATGCGTTGCATTGAGGATCGAAAGATAAATGAATGATAATACGTCGTTAAACCAAGATAATATTATAAATACTGCCCACCGGCTTTGCACCGTAATTGTCATTTTTACAAGACTTGTTCTCGGTAAGCAAATACAGCATTTCACAGCACAGGTGTGATGCTGCATCATAGCTTTGCAGAAGGATCACACATTAAATCTAATTTTCACTGACAATGAGTGAGAATTGAGCAAGTTTAATTTTTAATATTTGCATATTTGTTGTTGTAGAAGTGTCGATTGTTTTCGTTTCCACCTATAGACTTCATGTAACTCTCAATAAAAAGTATATAAAAAATTTTGACCAGACCCTCACTTAGGTGTAACCAAATTTTTTATATTACTGTAGTAGTATTAAACCAGTTTGTAATAATCATTTCTATTTATAAATCAATGAAAATAGATTACAAAACAAATTGACCCACTGACAACAACAAATTGAATAAACATGATCACTAGATTCCGACAGCACTGTATTGAGCTGAAAGTACTGTACTTCTTTTGGGATAAACCGAGAAAATCACATGCTATCATGGCAATGAGGACATCCGAGTGTTTTCTGAAAGAGATGGATTCAAACTCTTGTGGCACTTCCAGGGATATAAGGGGGATTGTACTTTTGTGCGACTGCAATGACGATATTCAACGGCATCTGGCAAGATTTCGCCTTTCGAAATCGAATCTAAACGAATGTGACCTGATTCTTGCAAGGGTTGGCATGTTTGACATTTCCCAGCAGGAAAAAGAGCAGCTTCTGGTGTGTCCTTATCACCGACACAAGTTTGGTAAATTTTGGCAGCCTTCGAAAGTAACGTGCCAATACCCATTGCACAAAGGTAAAAGCAAGACATTGAAAGGTACAGATGTAGTCACATTGCAAATGGCGAAAGATGTCTAGACTCTGTATGGATCAACTATACCAGTAGGATCTTGTAAGTATTCATATCTTCTTGTTGTTCTCAAAAAAAGTTTGCCTCTATATAAATAGAGGATATTATACACGACGGCGCGAAGATATGACTTTTATCTTCGAGTGGTGAAAACAATATTTTACAAACGAAGTAAAAAAAATATATATAAAAACATTTTAAAAAATATTGTAATAAAAATAAAATATTGTTTTTAACACGAAGATAAAAGTCGTATCTTCAAGCCACGGTATAATGTTGTGTTTATTATATAGTGCCAAGCAAAAAATTGTGAAATTTCACGCTTTAAAGCAAGTTGGAAAAAGTCACGTGATCGATATCTGCACTAGTGAAGATATGGAAAATATGTCACTGTGTATTTTTCAGTATCTCACTCTCTACTATATAATAAGTCTTGCTATTAATCTTATCAAACTATATTATTTATAAAATTATAAATGTACTTGCAGCTGTATGTTCCAATTGCCGAAAATCGCACAAAAAATATGTTGATGAGGAAACGGATAGGGATGGTGGGAACAAAAGGGTAGCACCAAAGAACAGGTACATAAAACTTTGGACAAAAAAAGTCAGAAAGGAGAGGGCATGTCCCTGGCAACACCTTTTCTAACGTCTCTTTATAGATACATCATCGAATATTATATATAGATATCAACCTCGTTCCCAGGCTCTTTCCTCCAGAGAGGAGCGTAGTGGAAAGAGCCTGGATACGAGGTTGATATAGATATATCATTGTTTACAGTCGTTGCATTTAGTTTTTGCATTCATGCCAAATTGACGAAAAATATTTTTAAAGGGAAAGGACTTATTTCATTTTATTTTATATAAAGGGTAACTTCGTTGACTTCGTTTTGTGACACACCTCGTCCTTCCAGTTACACTACTAAAGACGCGAACTAGACACCAGGTCAGTGGAGTGGTCCAGGTAGTGACAACTCACAGGAAAACACCATTTTGCTTGAGAAAGCTAGGAACAAGACGGACACGGTTCTAGAAAATTACAACAGAGTAATGATTGAATTGTCGTCGCAAACGAACCAAGAGGAAATAAAGCCCTTGCAAACCAGGATGAAAACTAGCTGGACTGATGCAACCAAAGAAGAGCAGAAAATGTTTACCGAGAAAGCAACCGAAGCTTGCCAAGTTATTTGCAATATTATCTCTCCGAGTGATGGTAAAAGTTTGTTTCAAGCTGTTCAAGAACATAAAAGGGATTGTAACCTAGATTTCTTAACTACAGCATACAGGAACACGACTTCTAAAAAGATCAAGACACAAATACTGACTCTCTATGCGTACGAATACCCAGCAAGCAAGTTAATCGAAATGCATTCATCATTTGAAAAGCTAAGCGAAAGGCAAATAAAGAAAGCAAGGGCCCACGCTAAAACATTTGGCCCAGGAACACCAGTCGAAACAAAGAAACACAGGATCTATTTGAACAAATTTCTAATCGCCCATATTTCTATCAAGATGTGTCCTACGGAACATGGGTCCTTAAACTAGAAAGTGGAGAACGATTAGCCATGCGAAATGTCATCAGAACAGTTACAAAGTCTACCCTAATTTCTGAGTATCAGAAACATTGTACAAAGATAGAATTTTCGCCGTTAAGTCGCGCTACTCTCTTCAGAGAGAAGCTTCCCAGCGAAAGTCTTTATATGGGCTAGATAATACTGCAGCAGATGGTTCAAGTGCATTTGATTCCATGGAAAACATTCTGAATAGTTTACAACAAGCGTCAAACGAGAGGATAAGCTGGTATGAAGAGACGAGGAAATCACTCCGAGCAGGCAAGAAGTATCTCAAAACCGACTTCCGGGTGCATTGCAAGGAGACTGAAAGCCCATGCCCTGACCATTGCCGGAAGTATGCGCTTAGTGATTCGGAAAATAAGGAATTTCAGGAACTGTGCAGCCACAAGCACACCCTTGTGTGTGATCAGTGCGAAAGACTCACACAAGTTTTGATTGACATAGAACATGCTATCAAAACTTGTCAGGGGTTTTATGGGAATGATCTGAAAGACGATATCTTGCATGATTTTGGACTTGCTAAAAATGCCATTTTAGCATGGAAAGCTCATATTTTGCGATCTGAGAATCAGGAATGTGGAAAACAAGCAGTGTTGGAGAAGTTAGATGATAGTTCTGTTCTTATCGTTATGGACTGGGCAATGAAGTTTTTGCAGCTGCGTTACAGAGAGAAACAATCCGATTGATTCGGTAAACGTGGCTTAAGTTGGCATGTGAGTAGTGTTATCCATCGAAATAACAGCGCAACATATATCATCAAGTCGTACGTACATCACTTTGATAGTTGCACCCAGGACTGGTATACAGTCGTTTCTATTATCGAGGACTTGTTCAAGGCACTGAAACGTGATCACCCAACAGTTAGAAGAGCATTTCTAAGGTCCGATGAAGCCGGGTGCTACCACAATGAGCTGATAGGTGATTTTATTGTATATTGTTTCTGTACACAACGTCAGATGATTTCGCTGAGAAAAGAGTAACAAGGTCGTGGAATCAGAGTTAGACAACGAGAAACGAGACATATGAATTGCATTTTACTTTTAATTCAACATTATACTCTATGGTTGTCTATAATTTATATCTTTGGGACCATTTAATGGGCAGTAATTAAACAAACTTGAAGACAATTGAGGAAAAACTAACTTTTCCTAGACGATCAATGAAGTGTATCTCAATAGCAAGTTGATTTCCATGCAATCTCGATACTGTAACTACATATTCACAAAACAATTCCAGCTCTTTACAATTATTGTAAAGAGCTGAAATTGTTTTGTTATGTGTCTGAGCTACGGATGTACTCAGAACTCTGTCTCTATGACTCTGTGCTCGTTTGACATTTTTCAGTGGGAGTTACATGAAGTATATACCAAAACGTCAACAACAAATTTGAGAATAAGGCATAAAATGTATTTCTACTTCTATCTTCACTGTCAGTTGAAATAAGAGTACATAGATAAGGATTTGCTGTATGGTGCTTCTGAGAAACTATAAGCACTATAACTGTGTTATAAAATACTATTTGCCTACCAAGAACAGACCTTCCAAAAATCATGATCAGTCGACAGTCCAAAGCCGCGGAGGACGTAATTATTTTAACATTAGGGAACATTTGGCGTGAGTTTAACGACGTATCATTCATTTATCTTTCCTCGTTACAACGCATATCTGTAGTTTTGGATTGAAAAAAATGAGCTTGTAGAAATTCAAGAAGTTATGGGCAGATAAGGTAAGATTTTGCATTTTTAAGCGCCTGAGCGATCCGTGTTTAAAACGAAGCAGATTACGTCACATGTTCAAATTTACTATTATTTAAACAGCCAAATATACTTGTAAGCATATTAGACCAAAACATTTTTCGCTTGATCTCAGTAAAACGTGTCTTAAACTTTGACCCAGTATAGAATATATTATTTTTACGAGTTTCACTTTAGCATAAACCGCCGTCGTCTCGACTGTACTTTTGGTGATTTCTGTTATTGTTCGAAATAGGCAAATTTAAGATTTGCCCAACGTGCAAAATCTGGAGAAATGTTTATTATTTCAATTATTTTTTTATACAAGGTACGTAAGTACGTAAACTTTGAGTAGTAATTTGTTTTTGGCTTTCTGTGAAGTGTAAGTAATCGACTGCCTAAATTGAACAACTTGCGTACTGAAAATGGCCGCCATTTTGACATGCTCGGTGGTTGATACATACATCATAAAATCTCGTGAAGAGTCAAGAAATTTGAAAAACCGATACGAATTCGTTAATGTAGACACATTTTTGTACTTTCCTGTAAAATGCAGGCGAAATCTTTTTTAACGAGATTTTGATCGGTCCGTTTTTGTAGAGACAGCCTCTTAACACTTAAGCGTGATATTGTTTCGTTTTTAGACCTTGTTATTGAGTAACAGGTACTGATTTTATTAAAGAATGCATGTCACTGATTTTGTGTGGCAATTCATTGAAAACCTTTTCTCTAACATTTCCGAAAATTACATTCTTCTTACATGTAATTGCATGGAAATTTATTCGGTTACAAAGGTATATTTTCTTTTATGTTCTATTGATTTTCAGTAATTCACTATTGATTTTCAGTTATTATGCACATTCAACAATACATTGTAAACAAACTTATTGTTGTGGCTAATGGCTATTGAGTTTTGCATTGTTCCTATTGAAATCCGAATTATGCAGCATGTAAGTAAAAGTATGGCTTACTTTAATGAGATTAGTAGATTAGGCCAACGCGTGTATAAGTTTTGGTTTGTGTATGTTTATGATTACAAAGCCTGTATCTTCATCAGTGTTAATAATATAATATGATGAATAATATATTAATGATATATTATACCTCAAATTCAAAATGTGTATCAGAAAGCCAAGTTATACCACATAAGCATGGAATTTATCATCGAATCATTCCTTATGCATCATCGTATAGACCCTCGCTCAGGAAATTCGGCGAAGTATTACCGTCGGTGATGATATTTCCCTCGGAACAAAGCCCTTTGGGAAATATCATCACTTCGGGTAATATTTTGCCGAACCTCCCTCCACATAATGATGGTACTAATATAATAATTAATGTATAGGGTATATATATAATGTTGTGTTGATACTCGCAGAACTAGTATTGTTCAATCCTGAATTAACATAAACGAGTATGTTTATGACAATAAGTATAAAGTTCATAATTTCCAGCCTTCGATCCGTCCTGACCGCGTAGCTCAGTTGATAGAGCATCGATCTAGTAATTCGAAGGTCGCGGGTTCGAAACCCAGCCATGGCGGGCAGAGTTTTCTGCTTGGAAATTATGAAATATATCACTCTTAAGTTGTGTTATTGTACACTCTGTAATATGTTAAGATGAAAATGTTCTAGAGTGTGTATTATATAATTTCCACACCCAGCGCAAGCAGAAAGATGTTGTCTGCCGCAGCTGCATGGGTCTTGAACCCGCAACCTTCGAATTACTAGATCGACGCTCTACCAACTGAGCTACACGGTCAGACGGATTTAAGACCAGAAACTATGAAATATATACTGAATGTCATAAACATACTCGTTTATATTAATTCAGCATCGAAGAATACTAATTCTGCAAGTGTTATGTTAAGTGTTATTGTACACTCTGTAATATGTTAAGATGAAAATGTTCTAGAGTGTGTATTATATAATTTCCACACCCAGCAGAAAGATGTTGTCTGCCGCGGCTGGGTCTTGAACCCGCGACCTTCGAATTACTAGATCAATGATCTGGCAACTGAGCTACACGGTCAGATGGATTTAAGACCAGAAACTATGAAATATGACCTTCAGTGGTGAGCTACCCATGGCAACAGGTCATGCTATGCAAATTTTTAATGATTTGCATTATTCAAACCTTTAGAAATGTACCGTATTGTCTTTAGCCTATTTAGATGCAGGTTTACTAGCATAGCATGGCCAGTTGCCATGGATAGCTTCGCCCCTGAAGCAAAGAGCTTTGCTTTTCTTAAAATAGCCATAACTTGGCAAGATTTTTGTCAGTTCTTCACGAAAAATATCGTTTTGAAGCTTACCTTCTTGTCTTTTTATATCACATGCTTTGAAGTACTCAAACGCACCAACTCAAATTGCAGGAATTGTTTATTTTTCTCGCGGATACAAGATGACAATTCATGATGGCTGAAATTCCCAAATCCATCATAAAATCCATCTAAGGATGGTAACCAATTAGATTACCAATTGGTAATGCGTATTTACCTCTTTGTAATTCAGTCTGGGCAAGAAGCCTGCCACATATATATGAATCATCTTTATTTAAATAGGATTGATGCTTGCTATTTTGTACAAATTTAAAATATCTTTATATTGTTGGCTGATCATGCAGAAATATGGTTTGCCAGGTAGCCATGTGGCTACATGTACAATAATCATCCTTCCATGCTATAATTCTAGGGAACATATTATCACATATTCCTGTCATTCATTATACCTGTCCATGCTGAGTCCAGTAAGCCAAATATGCAATAAAATGATCTGTCAGTGTTTTCATCACCACAATTACCAGCATATTCCACTTACCCAAACAAGGTTTCAACTGAAAATAATAAAGTGTTTGAAATTGACAAGTTCACAGCAACCTGGTATATTTTAAATCAGATAACTGAGAAGAAAGCAACTTGTATTCAAATATGAAACTACTACTATACACTTAATGTCTGCACCCGAGGGGAATAGTTTTGTTTTCCCGAGAATCTCAATGTTTCCCAAGACAAAGTCGAGGGAAACATTGAGATTCAAGGGAAAACAAAACTAACTATTTCACAAGGGAAAAGACATATTAAGTGTTTTGTTATATAGCGACGAGACAACAAAAATCAACATTCAACAATATTCATACCACAATATTTGTATTTCATGACAAAAACGCTATAGTGTAAACAAGTTTAAAATTACAAGAACCTACTTAAATGGTTTCAACAGCATATCCTGTTGCCTGTTATGTATTTTTCTTCTCTTTTACATTCTTTATTTTAGCACAAAGCCACGAAAACAGTAGTTTAAATAGTATAAATTTCTGCGGCCATTTTGTTTATTTATGTACGTATCCGGTCGGGGCGGCCAACAATTTGTCACTTATTGCCCGGGCGGGATACATTGCATTTATCTAAAGCCACATGACTACAAATCAGCCAATCACGTTTGGTGTTCACACTATAGCTATATAACAAATATAATTAATGACAGTTGTGGCAATGGAAGTGTTCCTAAAATATTCTACCAATGGGTTATTCCAGAAAATATCCATTCCTCCTGCCCTCACATAGGGAATGGAAGTTAGCCCCCTAGCCCCTTCGGATGTCCTAATGCACTTACTATTATCAAAAATAAATTTGTCTCCCTCCCCCTCCTTACAACAGAAATTTCCTCTGTGGGGAGAATGCAATCTTTTCTGGAATGACCCAATGCGATTCTTTTGCTAAGGGACCGGTCATTATTTATGGAAGGGGGAGGGAGGGCAAAAATGAGGGGGGGGCCCTTATGTATAAATAAATGACCAGAAGGGGGGGCTATTACATTTTTTCAAGAAAATGAGGGGGGGGGGTTGCAATTAAATTTGAAGGAATTTGCTTAATAAGCATGGTATCCATTTGGTTGTAATTGCAACTAAATCATGGTCACTGATGTGAAATAGTCTGGATTTATTTTGTCTTC